TTGGAGTTTCTTTTTATTCCTTTTATGGTCAAATGAATAGAAGAAACAGCAACCTCCCGATTCCATAAGAGAACCATTGCAACAAGGTCTCCATTTTATTATTTGCTGTACCTCAGAGTTTGGAATCCTTAGCTATTTTAAAAATACTGGATTTATTTTTTATTTTTTTTTTAATTATTGCCAAATTGACAAAGTCCCGAATTTCAGAAGTGCCATCCAAACCAAACTTTTTGCCCATGCACATCCTTAAGCAATATCAGTATTGGGCTGGGTTTATGAGAGGGGCTAACCCCTTCTAATAATGAAATCAGTATCATGTACTAACAAAAACCGTAAGATAAACAGAAAACTGCCAGGAAGCAGTATAAATATTAATACTGGGCTTCCGAATGTCCAAAGTGCCAAATTGCCAAAGTGGCGAATTTCGGAAATGCTGATCCAAACCGAATTGTGGAAGTACCAAATTTCGTAAGTGTCGAACTGCTTCGGATTTCTGAAAAGTGGCAAAACAAAAGAGGGATGTAAAATTAAGGGAATAATGACAGGAATCTAACCCTAGCCATAATCCTACACCTAACCCTTACCCCAACCTTCCTGTAACCCTACCCTTAACCCTACCAGTAACCCTTACCCCAACCTTCCTCTAACCCTAGTAGAGTTAGGGGTAGGGTTAGGAGTAGGGTTAGGGGTAGAAGTAGGGCTAGGGTTAGCGGTAGGGTTATGGGGTATGGTTATGGTTAGGGGTAGGGTTATGGAATTCCCGAAGTGCCAAAGTCCCGAATTTCGGAAGTGCCGAACTGAACCACTTTTTTTGCCCATCACATCACTACAAAAAACTGACAGGAAGCAGTATAAATATCAGTATTGTGCTGAGTTTATGAGAGGGGCTAATCCTCTAATAATGAAATCAGTATCATGTACTGACATAAACTGTAAGATAAACAAAAAACTGACAGGGAATAAAATAGGATAAAGTAGTCTACATCCCAAGTCTATACCCTACAAAACAAAAAAACAGCATCCCCACGATCAGATAAAACCCTACATAAATACATATATAGTAAGAAAATAAAGAAATCAAGTAAATAAGTAAAATAAAGTAAATGTAGCAAGACAAGCAAACAAAGTGTAGACACACAATATTCTGACCTGACTTGTGATGGAGCAGCAAAGAAAGAGGAAGTGACTCAGTGGAAGGCGTATCTTATACTCTCAGCCTGTCTCTGATTGATTCATGTTTTTCTCTACATGTCTTTGCTGGAGTAGTAAAGGAAGATTATGCAAAATATGAAGCCTCCTGTCATGTGATAACATTTTGAATTTGTGTGGTAATAGTTTCTTGATCCAAGGTGAAAGCTAACTGCCATTCTGGGGTGAATAAGGAATTCTTTGCTATCATCCATCTACACTAAGCTGAACGATATTACCATATCCTTACTGTATATCCTATGTTGTCCATGTGGCTGATGGTAATTCCACTCTTGAACCTATATCCATATCCACTCTTAATGATGATCTGGCTAAGGGGGTTGAGGCCTATGCAGAGCAGCATTGGAGATAGTGTGTGACCTTGTTATATGCCACATTTGATGTTCACTTGTGTTATTGTCCTGGAATTAGATTCTAGAGTTGTTTTCCACTTGCCAATCAAGTTCTTGTTGAAGGCTCTTAGTGTCTTGTTGACCTTGTATAGACCCAAAACTTTCAGTATCCATGTGTGTGACATTGGGTATTGTGTCATAGACTTTCTTTTAGTCAACCCAGGCGGTGTACAGATTGGTCTGGTCTTAGAATTATGTGTGTCTGCTTGGTCTACCAGTAGTTTGTATTTTGATCCTCTGGTGTTCTTTCCAATCCCCTTTTGAGTTTTGCTCATGTACTGACTCATAAGCCCATCCATCTTGCAGGCTAGGATGCTTGACAGGACCTTCCAAGTTGTGAAGAGGCAGCTGATTTGTCCATAGGTAGATAGTGTTGTTCCCTTGTGAAGGTCCTTCATGGCCAGTATTGTTCAGCCTTGTGTTAGCCAGTTAGTGTGGGAGCCTGTTGCTAGTAGCTATTTAATTTGTACTGTTCAGTCTCTGCTCTGGGTGGGTCTTGGGTGGATTTGTTGTGGTTACCCTGCAGCTGTTCATACACCTTGGATGGTTCTGTGGTAAACAGGAAATTTTTAATTTTATTTAGTTGATTGCCTTGGCTTAGCTGTTTCCAGTGCCTCTGGTATGCTAGCAGCTGGTACTATTTTAATAACTACATTATTGATATAAAATAGGTATTAGCACATGAAGTGAGCCAAATACCAACATGTTTGGGGAAAAGTTTACAGAGATGCGTGGAGTCAAATTCCAGACATGTGGAAAACTTAAATGAGTCTCCACTGGTTTGATATAGGTGGACGGGAGGAATAAGTAAAACATTTTATTAAGAAATTATCAGTAATTTGTACATCTTAATGTTTGTCATTTATACTAGAGCTGGCTTTGTCCAGAAGTGTGTGGGGAGGGGACTTTGGTGCTATTAGGATATTATGGTTCATATTAATTAAACAAGCAGCTAAAACCATTTCCAGTTTTCAAAGACTCTCGTACAATATAGAGTGTGGTTAAACACAGTGCTCACTGCTTAACCAGGGCTTCGGGCCCTTTCAACCTCTCTGCTAAGAAACTCTTGAACCAACAAACCAACAGTGAGCTCCCAGTACAGCATTTAAAAGTGGTATCCATTTGAAAGGCGTAACTTCCTTTATTCAAACTTTAGGGTTTAACCCATTAACACCGGAGGGCGTACTATTACGTCCTATTTTAGGCGGCTCTAAATGCCGCTGGGCGTAATAGTATGCCCTCCGTTTTTTTTTTTACTTACCCAGGGAGCCCCCCCGGCACATCCGACCTCCTGCAGCCCCCCCGGCCATGTGAGAGTGAGGTCCTTGCGAGGACCTCACAATCACATGGCCGGGTTAGCTGGCTGCTGTATTGCCAGCAGGGGGACTGCCTGTAATGACAGGTAGCCCCCCTGCTGGCTGAATTCAAATAAAATAAATGTTAATAAAGTGTAAAAAATATATATCTATATATTCTTAGATCATACATATATATATATATATATATATATATATATGA